TGGGCAGGGACGGCCGCCTCTCCCGCGCCTCCCTACTGTGAGGGGGCGGCGCTGCACGCGCCTCCCGGGATCCCGGGATCCCAGGTCCCTTCGCCCGGGAAGCTGTCCTTGCCGCATGATAGATACTCAGAACCCCTCCAGCCGACCCCAGCCTCCGCACAGTAGTCAGCCACAGTTCAGTGGGGCATTTTTCTTTTGTTAAGAGGCCTAATGAGCCAGCGGATGTTCGGGTTCATTGCGAAATGAAGAACCTGGAGGGGGATTTTATTTTTCTTAATTAAACAAACAAACAAAAAAAACCTCTCCGAGCACTACACTAAGCAACAAATAGGTACTTCCGTTTTCTATTTTGACCGCTTATGGAAAGAAGCGAAGATGGAAAAGAAGCAGCCGAATGGGGTGAGGGTGGGAGCTCCGAGAAGAGGAAGAAGGAAAAAAAGGAAGGGGGATTCCTTAAGCCCCTGGCACTTGAAAGATGGGGATGCTCTGGGGACGAGGCCTCCAAGGGGGTTAAACCCATTTAGACTAATCCTTCCTGGATGTCTAGAAACAGTCCTCTTCGCTCTGAAAATAGACCCTGATTGCCCTTATATTTCGACTTCAAAGCCTAATATATTGAAAAGAGAGTTAATTTTCCCGTAGCATTCTGGAAGTGTTACACATAAGCAAAGAAATGGCCAGTTATACTGTTCTATAGAGGAATCCGCGAGGTGTATGTTGATTTAATACCTATTGGCTAAAATTCTCCTTAGTATCTAAACCCTGTCAGAGCGACTGATTTTTATTGTTTGTGAGACTTGCTTCATTCCATTTCGTTTAAAGGTTTCACTGGAAGCCAGCAGTGATTTCTTTAGTTTAAGACTCTAAAAATAATCAAATCTGTTTTCTTTTCTTGTTAGGCCCTAGCGGATTATAAATAAGAAGAAAAGGAATAAAAATCTCAAAGTATATTGATCAGAGTGCTGAATAGTACTCATTCTTCAAGGTGGGTATTAGCCCTGTTTTTCCAGATAAGGTAACTTATTTGCTCTTGCAATCAGCTAGTAAGAAATAGTTATGTTTCAAACCCAGGTTTATCTGATTACTATGCCCATATTTTTCCCTGTACACATTCAAAGAAAGTTTAATGAAAAGAAAAAAAAAAAAAGCCCTCATGGTTGGCCAATGTTCACAGCTCTCTTGCTGTGATCAACATTTCAGAGGCTCCTCTCTGCCTAGGATAAGCAAACCAATCCATTGAGTCAGAGGAAGAATGGAAGATAGTATCTAGGCCACAAAGCAATATTATCTAATAATTAAGAAGATGGATGAGGAAATTTCTTCAACCTTACTTATGTCAGTTATTCTCTGTTTCGCTTTTCTTGGTTTCAGTTATCTGTGGTGAACCATGGTCTGAAAATATTAAATGGAAAATTTCAGAAATAAACAATGTGTAAGTTGTTAATTGCACACTATTCTGAGTAGTGTGATGAAATCTCTGTCTTACCCAGGATATGAATCATCTCTTGTCCAACATATCCACACTCTATATACCACCCACCATTAGTCACTTAGTAGCCCTCTCTCTTATCAGATGGGGAAAAAAAAAACATAGTATATATAGGATTGAGTACTATCTGAGGTTTTAGGCATCCACTGGGGATCTTGGGAGATATCCCCTGAGGAAATCTCAGACAAAAGACAAATAGTTTGTTGCTGGAATACATCTAAGAAACCATTTGTTCACCCTTCAGTGCAGAGGAGGAAATAGAGGCTGGGAGAAATTTTATAACTTGTCCAAGATCATATGTGACTGCATTGAAATGTCTCCATTTTTTATTTTGAGGTGTAGAATTGTCTTAAGGTCTTTTAAAAATTCGTTCATGACAGTTATTTCATTTTAACTTTTCAATTCGTTTTAACTTACTTTGACTTTTGTATTCTTCCCCTTGAATACCCTAATCAGTTCAGCTTATGTATTCTGTCTTGGCTCTGTCAAATAATATTCCACAATAATTACCCACAGATTTTGAAAATTAATCGTTTTATTTGTATTTAAATCTCTAGTCAATATGATTTACCACCTACACTCTTACCAGCCCTCGCATAGCCCATTTATATTTCACAACAGCTTCTAGTTTTTGCTTTTGTCTTGTTTTAGTCCCTTTGGGATGCCATAACAAAAATATCATAGCCTGGGTGACTTAACAACAAACATTTACCAAGATCAAGGCACCAGCAAATTCAGCATCTGATGAGGGACAATATTCTGGCTTATAGACAGCCATCTTGCTGTGTCCTCACCTGGCAAAGGGGGTAAGAGAGCTCTCTGGGTCTCTCTCTTTTTTTTTTTTTTTTGAGACAGAGTCTTGCTCTGTCACCCAGGCTGGAGTGCAGTGGTGCGATCCCAGCTCACTGCAACCTCCACCTCCCAGGTTCAAGCGATTCTCCTGCCTCAGCTTCCCAAGTAGCTGGGATTACAGGCACATGCCACCACACCTGGCTAATTTTTGTATTTTTTGTAGAAGAGACTGCGTTTCACCACCTTGGCCAGACTGGCCTCAAACTCCTGACCTCAAGTGATCCGCCTGTCTCAGCCTCCCAAAGTGCTGGGATTACAGGCATGAGCCACCACGCCTGGCCTGGGGTCCCTTTTATGAAGGTACTAATCCCATTTAGGAGGGTTCCACCCTCATGACTTAATCATCTCCCGAATCATCTTCCCTCTCCCATCTGACAAAGGCCTAATGTTCAGAATCTATAACTTAAATGAAGAAACAAGCAAGAAACAAATAACACCATTAAAAAGTGGGCAAAGGACATGAACAGACACTTCGCAAAAGAAGACACACAGGTGGCCAACAAACATGAAAAAATGCTCATCATCCCTAACCATCAGAGAAATGCAAATCAAAACCACAATGAGATGCTCTCTCACACCTGATACCATCACAATGGGGAGTAGGATTTCAACATACCAATTTTTCGGAGGAAACAAATGTTCATTCCATAACAACTTTTAAATTGTGTGACATATAAATACAGGAAATAATCATTAAAATACTACTTTTTAAATTACTTCCTCTTTCATTGTCAATATAGTGTCGAGTCCAAGCTCCCTTTTTTACAGAACAGTCACCTCTATTATATTATCCCTGGTGATGGCTGAGTGTATTTCCCAAGAGTTGCTAGGTTTTTAATTTATAAGCTGTCACAATGCATAAACATACTTATTGAAAATCTCGGCTTCTACAGCATTACTTTGCTTATGTTGAGTTTAAATTTCATCTATCATTGTGTTATTCCAAAATCCTGACAGAGCAATCTGGAATTCTTTCAGTTTCCCTTTAACCTTCACTAACAAATAATTATGTCCTCATAAAAATGCCAAAATCTAGTGTATACTTTTCCATAATTTTCTCACAAAGAAACGCTAAAGATATAGCTTCACAAAATATTCATAAAATATCTAAATATTCATCTAAATTTGTTGTTTGTTCTGCCCTTAGTTTTCTGGTGTTTAAAAGCCATATCAAGGTGTTGCTTCCTTCTTCCCTCCCACCGCCCGCCTACTCTTCGACAGTTATACCAGAGACAGTGAGTAAAGTGTTGGCATCTAAATCAAATCATGTCTTTCGTTTTTATCCCTTTTATTCCTTGCATTTAAAAAAATTACTGCTTTTAAAAGTACCAACTCTTATCTAGACTCTCATTGGCTACAATAACATTCTCATAAGATTGTCAGTGAGGGCACCTGAGAATACAGCTTTTTGAGGTTTCCAGCTGGCAATCTCCTGCTCTCAGAACTGCTCTGGGGGAGGGCAGAAGAGCTGTGGAGTCTTACAGGATAGTTACCATCTTCTTATATGCCCTTCTTCCCTCTAGGTACTCATCTAGCTCGTCTAAATGCATATGCGTAATCCCATCTATGAAAACCCACACATATCCCTCCATAGGACATAAGCTTAGGATAGTTTGTTTTGCCATAAACCGGCATACCCTGACAACCTAGATGTACTTTAAAAAGCACAAATAAAGCTTCCTAACCATAGGGTTCACTGGCAACTCACTAGTCAGTCAAGCATGCTGATATCATGTCTACTGGGGGTCTGATGGCCTCCCATGCCCAATGCAGTGGACTTCCACAGGGCTACTCTTTCATTTCCCCAAATTTTTCAGTCTCTCGTATTTGTACCCCATTTTCTCACTCAACTAAACTAATTATCTGGGTGTCCTTTGCCCCCAGAATTGGGTGAGAAAAGACTAGGAAAACTAGAATGCTTAGA